CTGAGTGTCCCCAGGGGAAGAGCCTGTTGTCGTCCGTCTCCCCGAGCTGTGCCTTGCGGGACGGCAGACGGGATTTAAGGAAGCTCGGAAAGGCTGAAGCCTGCGCAGAGCTGGGCAAGGTGGTCTCAGCAGGGATGGGTTGTCCCTCGTGCCCCTGCCTCTCAGGCCATTGCTGTGTGTCAGCAGCAAGAAGGGTTCGTCGCAGCTTGCTGCTTAACGGCGGTGATTCGCTGTTTGTAGGGCGAGGCAGCCTTCAGCAAATTTACTCTTCGGATCACCAGAGAGCTGCTGACCTGAGGAACATGGGAGCTTGTTACCTGTCTGTCTAGGGTGTGAGACGAGGACAGCAACCAGTAGCTGTGACCACCAGCAGCTCTCCCCAGTCCTGTGTGGCTCTTTGCAGTCACAAGGGCACCCGGAGGAGTTTCTGAGGGATCCAGAAACCCTCTGTCCTGGAGGAGTCCTCCTTGTGGGATTTCTGGTCTCTACAGCAAATGGTACCACAGAAATGGTTCTTCACAGAAATGGTACCTGGGGGTTTGTGAGCCTCTTGCCATAAAGGACTTCCCAGTCCTCAGAGCCATGTTGATCAGAGAACCTGTTGCTGATGAGTCTGGAGGACCTGTCCGATCTGGTAATGACTGCTGGCACCACTGGTTCTGCGTGCACAAGGCTGAGGGTCCCGTTCACCTCCGAAGCACTGCATGTCAGCGTGGACAGAGCGGGTGGGGCATCTGGCTGGGGTTGCCCTCACCGTAAGCGAGCGATGCTGCAGTCTCTACATCTGCCCAAAGCAGGCCGTTGCGTACAGCTGACCTCAGAAAGATGACCCTTAAAGGTTTTTTGTGGGATGCTGACTCCTGCGAAGTCTCCTGAGCAGGGCTGTGCTTTGGAGTTTTGTTTGCCAACAGCGTTCCTCCACTGGAGCCTTGTGCTGGCTCTGTCTCTGGTTGCTGGCGATGATCCGAAGCACCTGCAGTGTGAGCCTAGGAGGGGGCTTCCCAAAACTCTGCCTGCAGCGGGCAGCTCTCCCGCCAGCGGCACTGCCACAGCCCTGCCTTCTCCCTGTAGATGCCGGGGGACCTTCTGCTGTCCATCTCATGGGGTGGACGTGCTTGTGTCTTCAAGAAATCCTAGCTACGCTGATTTTCTCTTTAGAGATTTCAATCTTTTATTAGCTGTCCTGGTACTTCTATGCTTATGAAGCACTGAGTTTGTTGTTAATGAACGGGAAGCTTCAGGTGTTTCCCCTCTGATGACACCCAGTGCTGCCCACAGGTAACCCAGGAAAGGGGCTGACCGTGGGGTGGAGGGATAAGGACTCCCTGATGCTGGAACAGCTCTGGGTATTGCCGGCTCTGTTCTTACGTGGTCACTCCTTTGGGCAGCGTTACGCTTAGCAGCCCCTCGCTGTCAAAGGTGTACAGGCACGGTAGGTCCTGCCTCGGACTCTTTCTGCCAGAGATAAGCACTGGTGTCCCTAGATAGGCTCTAGGGATGAGAAAGGTCCAGTGCTGCTGACTGGTAGCAACATCTGCAGATGTTACCGGTCTCTGCAGATGCGTGGACGGGGCTTTTGAGAAGCCCGTAGGAGCGAAGCCAACAGCTCTGACTTGGCTTAGACAATCTCTCAGCTAAATCCTGAGCCTGGCATTCACATTCCTCTCCTGCTTTCAGGGACCTGACTCTTATCTCGGAGTGCAAGGTTGCCTTCTGCCCAGGGCAGAGGTTTTTCAGGCTGCCTGCGCTGGGGTCCCCCAGGCTTGGAAACGCGACTGAAGCTCTCCCTGTTGCCGCTCTCTTTCGAGAGCAGTGTCGAGTCGGCGATGCATGCAACCCGTGGTTGTGGCTGAGGTCACCGTACGGTGGCTTCATTGTCCCCTGGGGAAGTCTGAGGGTGAGCAGGGACGGTGCGAGCCCGGACGATGGGGCGTTAGCACTTGGAGCATCTCCTTCACAAGGAGCTGCTTGCTTTCTGCAAACCCAGGTTTGTTTGCTTGCTGTCACAACATAAGCTGGTATGTTAATTTCCGAGGGCTTTTTGTGGTGATTAATTGAGAATGAAGATTGAATTGGGAGGGAGACCTGTGGGAGTAGAAGTGTGGCAGGAGAACAATTTATCTGTCAGCAGCTGCTGGCTCGCCTCTCTCTGCTGCAGAATAAAAGCTGACAGGAAAGCATGGTGCTCCATGGAGCTTTTACCTTTGCCAGGGCAGAAACTTTCATGAATGAATTAGAGCAAAGAATGGTTTTCAGTGTAGCTGTGTGAAGCCAGGCCTCCCTATCGCACCGGCTCCCCTTGGGGACCACCTCCGAGCCTTGGGCCTGGTGACCACGCCGTGTTTTCGAGCGGTATCTGTCAGCAGCGAGCAGGAGGGCTGCCAAGGAGAAAATGCAGCCCCAGCCCAAACTCAGAGGCTCCCCTTTAAAGATGTATTAAGAGAACCAAACAAAAACTACATCAGAAACTCACAGGACATAAAACTGACCCTGTGTGAAATTTTACGCCGACTCTCCTACTTTCTAGAGGAAGTCAGGAATTCATGCTCCAAGTGATGCCTGTTTGCAGAAAGCAGCACCTCTCCGATAGTCAAACAGCTGCCGTGTAGACCTGCTGTCATTCTTTATTTTAAAGAACGGTTAGAACGCTGTAGCTAAGCAATGCGAGGAGGCAGGCTTGCTAACCCACCAGATGCAGCCCTCTGGACATGCTTGGTAATAAGGTGATTATGAATTATTCACAGCTCAAGGATCCGCGGGGGAGGCTTGGCCGCACAGCTGCGGTCCGAGCCGATGGACGCGCCTGCCGGCAGGTTTCCCAGAGAAGCTGGTTGTGCGATGGACGCGCATGCCGGCAGTTTTCCTAGAGAGGCTGTTCAGGCGCGCTTTAAAGTAGACGAAGACGCCTGCGAAGTCTCTTGGTCCTACGTGTAGCAAGGCTCTGGCTCTTGCTGCCCTGCAGAGGCAGAAGCTTCTGGATCCACGTTGTTTGTTCCAGCGGAGCCCCTTCGCTTCACCCCTGTGTCTGAGGAGAGGACAGGCACCGTCTCATCTGCCTTGGGTTTCCTCCGTGCCCTCTCCTGAGGTGTGCTGCTCTCCGCAGCTGGCCCTGGAGCCATCGCTGGCCCTGGAGCCATCGCTGTGGGGACCGGCACCCCGGAGAACCCTGCAGCAGGAGGCACGCTGCTCTGGCAGGCATTGCACAGGGCAGTTTGCTTCGGTAGCTCCACCTTGGCCAGGGTCCCATCTCTGTGCCAGCAAGTATCAACTGTCTCATGATTTTATTTTTCTTGCAGGTGGGAACAGCGAGAGCTGCCTAATGGTAGAGTCTACTATGTAGACCATAACAACAAGACCACCACGTGGGAGAGACCTCTTCCTCCAGGGTAAGGAGCTCGGAGGGCAGCTGGCATCTCAGATACCGAAATAACTTGTTGTAGCAGATGCACTGGAGTCTGCGCTGAGGTGGGGAAGGTGGCAGGAAGGTGTTTTGCTTCCTAAAAAGAAATGGGAGGGGACCACCAAGTATTTACTGGCCTGAAGATACACCTTGTATCCTCAGGAAGTGGTCACTCCTTCAGACAGCGTTACGCTTAGCAGCCCCTCGCTGTCAAAGGTGTACAGGCACGGTAGGTCCTGCCTTGGACTCTTTCTGCCAGAGATAAGCACTGGTGCCCCTAAATAGGCTCTAGGGATGAGAAAGGTCCAGTGCTGCTGACTGGTAGCAACATCTGCAGATGTTACCGGTCTCTGCAGATGCGTTACGTTGATGGGGCTGTTGAGAAGCCTGTAGGAGCGAAGCCATTTCCAGCATTTGTAAAAGGAAAAGGCCTTCCAATCGGTTGCATTTTGGCCTCTTAGAGGATTTTATTTTTTTTTTAAACAGTCCACGGAAATCACGGAGCACTTGAGCAGCAATGCAGCCACTTGTGGGCAGAGCGGAGGGGTGGGCCTTCGGGTTGGGGCGCTGGCAACGTCCCCCCGAGGAACAGGAGAAGGGAGAGGGTGGGTCTCATGTCACCTGGAAAAACAGAATCACAGAGTCACAGAATCACAGAATAGTAGAGGTTGGAAGGGACCTCTGTGGGTCATCTAGTCCAACCCCCCTGCCGAAGCAGGGTCACCTACAGTAGGCTGCACAGGATCTTCTCCAGGCGGGTCTTGAATATCTCCAGAGAAGGAGACTCCACAAACTCCCTGGGCAGCCTATTCCAGGGCTCCGTC